TTGTCATCAAAACACTTCGTTCTTGAGGAGGTGGCGTGTTCTACACGATCTGCCCTTCAAAGGACGAGAGTTAGAAGTTATAGTGGCCTTATTGTTGCCGCAATGTTACAATGACCTGACTCATAAGCGCTTAATTTGAGGCTGTTGGGAGATTCCGGGACGAGCAGAGCTTATAAAATTATCACTGAGTAGGGAGCCGTTATGTTAGTTCAAGTCAAGTTAACCCTCACTCGTGTTCAGCGATAGAACTCTACTAAAGCACTTATTGGTACAACTTTCTAACAGCCATAATTTCATCCCATTTTCTTTGCTTAAACCCAATCCACTTGTTTACTTAAGATTATATTAGTAGATTGCACAAATACGTAATAAGTAATTTTAATTAATTGTGCAAGCACTCATTTGACCACTTCTAAGGAACTCGATCTTGCCGATATTGAAATAATTAGTCATTGCCATGCATATAATCTTAACCCTAATGTAGTCATTAGTGTTAAGACCCAGTTGGAATAACGGAGTAGACAAGAAACTCAAAAAAGCTTATCTTCATCGCCACATTTGAGGGGTAACTTTGGCTATCAGGAAGGCCAATAACACAGGAGTGAGGCTTAATTAAATGGTACGAACATATTGGAGCAACATCTGAAAAATCTATTTATGGAGGAACGAATTCCGTTCACAGAATTGGCGTAAAATTCACATAGTCATCGAAAATATTCGCTTACCTACAAGTTTTCCCGAGAAAAGACTCCTAGATGACTCACAGTGATTTGAATAGCGATATCTACGACGATGGATTAAGAAAAAGTTGTGAGCTTAAGTTATCAATTAAAATTGTTTTAATTATGGCTTTCCATTTTAAGGTCAATTCGTATTTGAAGAACCCTGCAATTAACGCTTACTAACTAAGCAGAAACAAACCGGAATTTTGTGACAATTTCTTCGTATTCAGACTTCTGAAGTTCACTAAATCTATGGACAACAAATATATAGGTATCTTGCTTTTGGTCTGCAATAACGATTCCTAAGATATGGAGTTTACGGCTGCTGTGTTAGAAGTTATGGAAAATGAAATTTTCACAGTTGCTGTTTGTACTGATTCAATAATGAATGTTTGAATCCACGTTCTATAAGCACCAATTTGGTTGATGTCAAGACCTTGGGAAACATTAAACAAAAATTTCCTAATTTTATTGCTGAAATAATTTTTAGTGATAACCAGCCTCACATTTTCCCACTTCGATAAGCTTTAATATTTTTTTAAAAAAATTAAATTTTATTATTTGTAATCCCACTTTTTATTGAATTAACTTATGACCCCATATTTGTTTATCTGAACAACTGTTAGATTCCAATTGGAAGTGGATGCATTATGTAATGAGGGGCCCAAGAGAGTAAACTTTGGTTTTGGATTTATATTCTTTTCTCGCTTCTATTATCCGCACAGGATTTTTGGAAGTTAAGGGTTTTATCGGCGCCGTGATTTTGGGACATCTGCATAAGGTTTAAATGGTTTTAGCTACTGGAATTTGTTTAAAGATTATTAAAGCTCAAAGCATTATGAGATATTGAGTTCATAAATCGTTTGCTTTTAGGCATTTGATTTACTGTCAAATGAAAATGATTCTACGAGCCCCTTATCCCTAACGAATTGAATTTCATATGAACTCATGCTAAATATTTAGGCTGATGTTTTGTATGGATTATTGGCATTATCAGTAAATTCGTCTAAGTTTTAATGAACTTGGGTATTCCAGTAGTGTACGAATTGTGGAGCACATAATAAGGTGAGAGCAAAGGAGTCCATTTATATTTTGGATATAATTCCCTTTCTAATATCCGAACAGTTCGAAAACTCGATTTCTGTGAACTGAGTCTGCATATCTGCGTGAGCTCGTCCCCGTGATACTCAGATCTTGCTGACTTATGTGACTTACCATTCCACATCAACTTGCAGACGAGTCTATTGAACTTATTAGAACGTAGCAGGTTATTTAAAGATTGAATAGTTTCAAATACGTAAAGAATGAGCCTGGTACACCCATGTCTCTAAAACACGATAAAAAGACAATCTTAAACTAATGTGAAGGCTCAAATTGCTTCCCTTACAGTTCTTCAAGGCTCCCCAATATTGTTGCTTACACATAATTCTCTCTTTTCAAATTTGCCTGAGCCAATTTAATTGTTTGGAAGTATCAAAATGTCGTAATTGCTTGTATCGATATTTTATTTACTAATATTTAAACGTACTTATAAATTAGCCCTCTCTACTCTTGTGTGAAATATCATCCAGAAATTTAAGGGGACAGATCTCAAAAAATTCGGAAACAACAATTCCAGAGTGAAGGTTGATGAATGCTCATACAATGAATAACTAAAAATGCTTTAAGGTCGAAAAATCATAAATATAGCATTACCTGTCCGAATCATCGCACTTTACACCTTAAAATGAGACGGAAAGTCAAAATTATGAAAATGATCATCTCACTGTAAAATTGCACGTTCAGCATTTTCCCGTTTTTGGAGAGGAATGACAAAATGGTGTGCCTATCTGTTTTCAAATATATCTAACCAATTTAAGATATTTTATTAAACATGAGGATAGAATTCACATTTTCGGAAATAGGAAAAGAAGCCTTTGGGACCAGCAATAAGATTGTCGAGATCTATTAGTTGTAAACGAGTGTCATATTTTCGATAATGGAATTTAAGGACCTTTAAGCAAACCCTCTGATATTCAGCCAAAATAATTAAGTTTTAAAATGGAGTGTTGATTATCAAACAAATTAGCAAAAAGGAAAAGAAGCTAAAGCACTAAGCATTACAATTTCATTTCTTATGCCTTTACGCGCTTTCAGCAGGGAAAACCATTTTGGTACAGAGAAGGACCGAATACGATGTACGGTCCAATTCGACTACAAGGGCAAGACATTACTAATTAATCAAGCGTGAGGAAACTTAATGATCTTAGCATGACTCATAAGTGTCACAGCATTTACTTGCTAACGAATCACCGGTAAAAATCTTGTTTTCGCCAGTTTCGAATACGCCTATTTAATTAGCTTAATACCAATGAAGTGGTTATCCTCTCTAAATGCATAAATAAACGCTTGAAATGCCCATTAAATGGAAAGAAAACCGAAAGAGAGAGAGAGAGACTATTGTACTTCAACCTGTTCAATTGAGGGTTGGTCTCTATCACCTATAGGTCTAATGTCCCGTCTTGATCTGAGATCATGAGTAGGGAAAGCAGATGCACTGTGGAAACTTCTGTCCATATTGCTTCTGATTTACTACGAATAAGAACTCGGGAAGTTTAATGGGTAATAATAGGCAACTGGGAAAAATGGGTCTGTTGCGATCTTTATTTTAAAGTTTTCCCCATTATTTAACGTTTATTTCGCTTCCCTTTGGCTTTTAACTAACTTACAACTGTTATCTTAATTACCTTAATCATTTAACCTAATTTCCTATTTTGTTTTGCTTTTAAATAATTTTTTCCTTACTCTAAGCTAATTATAGATTTTATAACATAACGTAATCGGATTTACGCAAGAAATTATTAACTACTTCGTCTGAGTCATCAAGACTGATAATCTAAGTTATTTTTTGAACCTTCAATCCAGATTTTGATGATGGCATAAGCAATTGTCATACAATTCGCCTATACCTGTCATGTTTTGTCAATCTTGAAAGCCAGCATCAAATTAGATCCGTTAATCCAGGCCACATCTCTTCATATAAAAGAGCATACGTTAATGCACATTAATCTATATAAAAATTTTATTTAAAAGTATTAATTAACACTGCTCAGAATAACGGTGTAAGTAGGCTCAAATAAGATTAGAGGGTGGTAATATGTCTCATTATGTGCTTAAATATACCATTTAGTAAAGAAAATGGATGAATGTTTTGCCAACTTAATAGTGAACAAATGTTGAAAGGAGCGGTAAAGGGATCGGAAAATATATAAATATCAAAATGGAGCGTTTAAGTATAAAACGAGAACCTTGGAGGTGTTGAAAAGGTAGCTTTTGAAATGGGATATATTCCTTGAATACATAAATATAAAAGCTGAATCATAAACTCTTCTTTGGTAGGGGGGGGGGGGGGTTAACGATGATTTTAACGAAAAAAAACTAGCATCAAAAAGTCATATATTAGTTTGAACATCTCCAAAAATTGGTTTTAGCAAGACCTTATAAAAAATATGCTTCATGACTTGAAGGAGCTAAAAGACGAAATCCTAGCAAACAAAATGAAGAAAATACAAGCGAAATGACCTCAGCTATACAGTGCATGTAAGTTGGAATCGAATTAATGGATTTACTCTTCAGATGCAGCGAACAACTTGTGGGAAAATGATAATAATATTCCAATTTTATCTTTTCCTCGAGGAAAGGAATAGGTGGCAAAGCCGCAGATCCTTCATACTGTGATCAGAATTTGACAAATATTGCTAATTTAGGTTATTTATCGTTCTTGCTTATAGAGTTTTTCTACTGACCAACAAGTTAACCAATCAATTCGAAATATCAATGAAAGGGAACTGATGTTATCTCACCCTATTGCAGTCATGGAGTGCCACATTAAGCAATCTAGGTTATATCATTGGTTACATATCATTGTTCAACATAGCCTACTTTTTGAGCATGTCAAAATTCATCCAAATTTAAGGTAAAATTACGATCACTGAATGATTAGAATTTTATATTAGAAAATGGGAAGGCTATGAAACTTTAAAGCTAGTTACGAAAATATTTCTTGCGGTACACCGATCTCTTTAAATAATAATCGCATTTAAGTCATAACTTCAAGCACTCTAGTTAGCTTATAAACTACTCCTGATAGGGTGGTAATACCAAGTTGGATATTTATTTACCTTGAAAGGTCATAAATAAAAGCAATTTAATTGAGTCAACCAAGAATTGAATAATTTATTGAAGTTATTGTGAAATTAAAACATGAAGCGAAATTAAAATATTCTCGATTTTTAATCACTAATCGTGAGTCTTATCGTATGTATTTTTGTTCTTGTAGCCTTGAACATAACCGGAATCATCTACTCTGTTCTCTCTTCCTTCTATGCCTTTGCCTTTGCCAGTTTCTGCATCAAAGCGTTCCTTGTGAGCGCCGGTATATTTTGACACATCCGTTAGTCGGTTGACAGATTCGTTCTTGGCGATTGAGGTAGCTTGATTTTTATCCGGACTGCCCTTGGCAATTTTTTCTTTTAGCTCTCTGACAGCCTCTTCTTTGGGGATTTTGCGTGCACTTGCATAGGAATCTCCGAGATAACCCTCAATGAAACTAACAAAGCCTTCGTAATCCACTTCCTTCTTAGCGTTTCCAATGTGTTTTCGAAATTGTATGTCAACTCGGTTCTGATCCATTTCTTTTGAGTATAATTTGCAATCAGTACAGATTTTCTTAAGCGTTTTATCATTACATGTTGTTGAGCCCTTCTTGGTAAAGTCACAGAATGCAAGGAAAGCGGATCTGAGATCGTCCATTCCGGTCTATTTATATTTTCGAATTGCCGCAGCTGCAGTTGCTACTGTTACAAGGCAGTATTTTATTATTATAAACTGCATTACGTAATGAAATATTAGTAATTATCATTAGCGGTAATATTACGAAACATACTGTAACTTAATTTTTATACATTTTATCAACATTTCATTTATTTAATTAATAAATGTCATTTATAGGTTGGTTAAGAATGATATCTGTTAGTGATAACCAATTTTAATGGATTTAGATGCTGTTGCAATTATATAAAGCTTTATAATACTTTGTTGATATTCACAATATTTTATTCCAATGCACCAGTAAAAGAAAGCAATTTTTAATAATTTTACTGTGGTTTAATGTTTAATAAGTTTGACAAGTAGAATTTAAGCAGGCATTTAAACAAACGAAACTGTAATATTCTTTATAAACTGAATTTAGAAATTTTGAAGTTATTCAAAAATTTTATTTTATAATTTTCTTATATAATAAACGAATCAATTGAGCTAGTTTTGAAGCAAAATTCATGAAATCTGAAGTATCAAATACCAGGTTATTTCAGTAACTGCAACGCTTTAAAATTAATCTTGAGAGGTCTTCAACATCCAATGGTATATATATATATATATATATATATATATATAAAGATCATTTATCACTTACCGGAGACTAGTTGCATGTAGCACTCTGCATGAAAATGTGCCAAATGTTAGCTGTTTTCTATGAAACTGGAACAATTCTTGAATACAATACAAATATGTATGATACACCTCCGTTCTCAAGATAAGTGAACATTGTGGGTCAGATTCCACTTATTTTAGACTGAAAATAACACAAACTAATCATGTTTGGGAAGTTGAAATAAACCAATGCAGTATTACTCAATAAATTAAGTAGAGAACTACAACATACTTGATACTATAGCGTTTCATTTTGGGCGGGAAATCTTGAATCTCTATCTGAAAAATATAGTTTATCATGAAATTGAAGTTTATAATTGAAAATAAAGTTATTTTAAAATTATTCGCCTATTCAAAGCACAGCAATGTTAAAAAACTATTTACTGCTTCATTTAACCCAACTTAAGTTGATAAATATATGAATTTAGGTGTCTACAGGTCTTAGAAATTATATTGAATACAAATACGCACACCAAACGAGAGTTGCCCAATTATGAAACTATTTAGACTCCGGCTTTGATGGCTCAGTTTCTCAAAACGTGCGTCAACGACGTCAAGCCTTCAGGTTAGAACATGTGAAGTTGTCGTGAGTTTACAACAGGCAACTTTTCCCACGCCAAGAAGTGCAGAGACATATTTTGCCAAGATGGGTAAATCATGCTCAAATAATTTGAAGTTATTATGAAAGATTTTAGCTCTCTTTCACACACACGCATATATATATATATATATATATATATATATATATATATATATATATAGCAACACAGCGATCTTGTTTAATTGAAAATTCAAGTTGCTATTTGCCTAATAACTGTCAGTGCCATTTCTTAATACACAGGATGAGCTTGTGGCCATCACCCAATCAATAAAATCGGTCAATTGCCTGCGGAAGGTGAAATGTTGAAATACGAATGTGCCGACAAATACAAATATTTCCTCTCAAGACCCATTACATGATGCACCTGAAAACCTGGTCAATTTAAAGTTTACCTTTATCCCAAAGACCAAACGGGAAAGTGATGCCAATAGAAATTTTGTGTAATCTACTCTCTTACTTGTCGAATATATCAACTGCCCAAATTAAAATGAACGTTTGTAAGTTAAAACTATTTTGACATAATTGTAAAGCTAAGAAATCAAGTGCATGTTACATTGATATAGTTCCCTACCATATATGGTTGGAACGCAGTTGACCTAACCTTAAAATGTTTATTTATTTATATCAAATGACAGCCTTTATGATAGTTATCATTAGCCCTTTAGTTGACTTTAAGCTTCACAGAGTGAGAGGAACATCAAATCGAAAAATGTCGAGAGGGGGGGGGGGTGAACAGAAGAGTGTTTTAAAGATGTAAAAGAGACAGACACAAAGGTAGAAAAAAGGTGAGGTGAGTGCTGCGGTAGAATATGGCATACAGTGGGGTCATGATAGCTTGAACGCAGAAGTCGCGCATTACAATTCCCATAAGTTGGATCTCAAAAGGACAGAGGGATGGTAGCAAGTGAAAAATGATGAAATGTATACTCAGCTCCAATGCTTGCCAGATTTCATTTCCGCCATAAATAAAGCTAAGAAACATGATCGATTTACTAATGACTTTCATCTTTAACTGGAAATTCGGTTTATTTAGATCTATTTTGTTATAACGGATAATAATTGAATTACGGATACCTTAATGACCTAAACGTAGGATATCACCGTCATATTAACATTAGTGTCATCATCAATTGCACAGTAATGCGGAGCTTATAATTGAAAACGAAGTCAAAATATTACTTATTTCTTAAAAAAGTGTAGATTTCATATGGGACTGATATCTCGGTCTTTTATACACCATGGAATGATTCATTGGATCTCTAAGTGTTCATTTTCCTTCACACTTTTCTAAGCTCCAGTTGGAATTTATTAACAAATTGTAATGCTTTAGCTATGTCGAAGGGAGGGGTGACCTCCACACTCTTCTTACCAACTTAGATGATACCACATTTCCATGCCTTACTGCTTTCGACCTAACTAGAAGTTATCTTTGAAGAACCAGATTCAATTTTGAAAGTTATTAAATCTGTTCAATGCCTCAGGACAGGAAGGTACTGACAACGAAACGACAAGAGTGCAGGGAGGTCCTTTCATTTAACTTTGTTTCTTATTGTACAATTCTTATTTGGACACTACCATTAAGCTACTATATTCTTGTCATCAAAGGAACATAACATCCTCGTAAAAGCGATATATAATGCAAGCTATAAATGGGTTTCTGTAAGTAATTAAGGATCAGGAAATATTCAGCTCAACATACCATCCTAGGAAAGAAATTTAAGAATATGAGTAGCAAATGTAAGGGTTCAGTTTGAAAGTCGTCATTAATTTACCCGCGTTCATGAGAAAGGGTTTGGAAATTCAAGTCCAACCTTGAAGCCCGCATTTATAGACAGTATGACGCATTATTTAACGAGACAGTTTGTTCCAGACAAAGGACAGACCGCATGGACGAGTGGGGAGATTTTACTTTTGTCGTCTGACTGATGGCTAATCGACACGGTATAGACTGCGTGTTGGCGGATGTTACTTGTAATGTGAGAAAGCCAATCAAACTATAAAGTCCTTAACTTGTCAAATTATTTCTGGGCTCTTCTACTAATTTAGAGTTAGCTGATCGATTTACAGTTTTCAGTTTGAATAAGAGATAAGAAATCACAAAAAACCTTGTTTACATTTTTCAAATATTGAAATGCATAAGGCTGAAGAGCCGAATACACATTGTACCCAAAACCTGGTAAAGCTCTTAGAAGTTTATTTAACTTCAGACAAAAATAAATAGCTCCTAATATTGATTGTATTTAAGGTAGCGAGAACGAAAACGTAGAAGGCGAAAAATGTTCATCTTATACTTCGGGCCAAAGTTACTAAAGAGCTACTAAATACGTCCCATAGTAAGTAAGGTTACATAACCTCAATTAGCGATTGACTTCAAGGCAGCAATTTCCAGAATATTCGAGGGTGCATGATATGTTAAACAAAGAAGCACCTATTAATTATAGCTTAAATAAATAATTTAGAATATCAATGTCAAAATGAGCGTAGATATGAGAAATGACTGTAGTTTTGCTAACGAAGGACGAAGCTCATCGTTTATAAACTTAACTGTACCTAAAAATGAGGAAATGGCAAACCAAAATACATTGAATCAGAAGGACAAAAACCAAATTTCTAGAAAGTAAGGGAATAACATTAGGAGGGAATGATATAATCTATATAGGATGCGAAATATTTTCAAAGTTGAAAATTGCTTTTTTTCAATTTTAAGTGAAAATATAGCAAGAAGGACAATCAGAATAAAGGATTTATTATATTGTATTAATAATTGATCTGCTTTTTGATACCTGGAGAATTATAAAGGACAAAATATTTATGATTTGTGCTTTCTTGTGGTATGAAAGTTTAATCAACATATCAATAATTATTCTGCTGGTCATTCTGCATTAATAATTTTGTCTAAAATTAAATAAATAGAATTTGAAAATAAGAAAGAACAAAGAAAGGATTTGAAAGAGGAAAAACTGCAATCATTCACATTTGAATTGATTTCTTATTGGAAAATAGTATTCGTATTCAACGCGGAATTTATAATAAGCTTACGAGAAAAAATTACAAATTAATAACTTGTAGAAGAATATCTAACACTAGCAGTTGTTAACACATAACCGAGAATAGTTGAAGTAAAGCGACACGCGAACACCATTTTAGAGATATCATGAGCTTGCATTACTTGGTATTCGTAAAAGCAGTAAAAATAAGCAAGTTTGAAGTTACACTACTAACAAACCTCAGAAAGATGCGAATACTAGATGAAGTAGTGGTTGTGTTATTTTAAATTACCTAAATTCCAAACGTAAACAGTGCATTAGAGTAATAATTTATTTTTAAATCGAATTTCTACAATAAAATTATTTTTATCAAAGAATTTTGTGTTAGTGATGGAAATATTACTATTTTATATAAATTTTTTAAGGTCATAGTTGTTTAGCTAAGTCAAGTAAGTATAAAAGTAGCACTGTGGCCCGGTCCAAACCATCTCGGTTGGTAAATAACTTACCCAGCATGATACACGTTGCCTCAAGTGGAGAGATGCCATTCGTTTCTAATGTCCGAAAGACGCGGTCGATTAGGACGAAGATACAAAATCAGTCACCAGTCAAAGCTGCAAAGCTTGCTATAAAAACTCGTGCTTCAGAAAAGTTAAATGCTCAAGAATTTAAGCGCATTAAACTTGTTACCGTCTTGTCTGACGGCTCCGTAGATGTAAAACACCGAAGTGAACATTTGAGAGCAGCTCTTGGGCGTTTGAGACAGACAATATTGCATTCTGTGTTTGATAGAAGACATACTCACCACAAAAAGCATTCCGCACCGAGCTGTTCTCGGTCAGCAGCTTCTAAACCTACAAAAGCGGTCAGAACAGTCGGTCTTCCTTCTCGTACTTATACCGTATGTGAAGAATGCAGTCGAAGATGTGCGAATCTTGATGTTATCATGGAGGAAGATTTTGATGAGGACAGCTTATCCGAAGAAATCGAAACAAAAATTCAATTAAAATCCTCACCCTTTTCTATGCCCTCTGTTTCTATGAAATCCCATTCATTGACGCCAGTCTATAGCAGCCTTCTTTCGGTGTGATATCTAAAGAATTATTTTTTGTATTGGGTATTTCGAACTGACCATTTCACTCAGGTTTTCTAACTTCTTTTATATTTGCATTTATTACTTACTGTATTTCACAAGTTTGTTTTACAATGTTGATGTAATAATGAAGTGTCTTTCAGTTACTATTACTTGTCGTGTTTTGATTTTTCTTTGAAGTGGGATTTAACAGGTAGTTGGTTATCATACAAGTGTTATTACTATTTTCGTAATAGAATAGAACTTTTATTCTAAGACAACCTGATGTATCGTAATCTTAGGCATAGTTGGCTGTTGATTAATCTGAGTACGTACATACATTTTTGCTATGGGTGCGTTTCATTTTATGCATAGAATCATTGGTCAATTTTCGAAGTCGAATTCCACATTTATCGTTACTGTAACTGATAACAGTAGAGAGTGCTTGTAGGGTGCTGCGAAGATTTTGCTTTCACAATTTTGAATTGATGTAGAGAGTTACAAATCTAATTTAACTCACACGGTGAATGTCTACTTAGTAGATCTGAGTATTAAATCTCACAGGATTCCTATACAATCTGAGCTCATTCAAATTCGCATATAGGCGCGCTTCTCCCGTTATATTCTCAAGATGATGTCACTAGAGCACCATGAGATCTATTTATTTTGACATTAAAATTACAAAATTGTAAAAAGTGCTTATAAAATATCCAATTTTCTTCCTAAGTTGTTCGATGTAGTCAATAGCTAAATGTAACTAATAAGTTACACATTACTGGTCGGAAACTTGTTCTCAAATGACTTATATCTGATAGCTCTTAAACTGTTTAAAATGAAATAAATGATTCATTCTAATATGTCTCTACGGATTTGCAGGTCTATAATACGATATTTACGAGATTGCTAAGAGTATCCGTTTGGTGTATCAAAAATATAAGCGATTTTGGAAACAAGTTTTAAATTTTAATTGCATACGGATTAACACAAAGGTGGTAATTACTTAGACTAAGGAAATGTTGGTGGTGGAAAGTTGAGTATGTGGGATGGAATTGTGTGCCAATGGGCACTGGAAGTGGGAAGCTTTCCCACAAGACTAGCCTACTGTTATTTAGCCCTCTCACTTTACATTTCGCCAAATAACCTTTAACTAAGGAGATTGGGTGCTAGTTGCGATCTGTCACTGGAATGACAACACATTGTGCTTTTTTCGACTAAATTAGATGTCGGCAATCAATGAATTGATTTTTTAAATGTGGGGGTAGGAAGTGATTGTTACGTGAATTTTGATTTAATTGCGGGCAGCCAGTCGACTGCATTGACTACACTGTGTTTTGGTATCCTGTGCCATTAGACAGTAAACAAGTCGGTGTGTATAAAATTCCTTTTTAAGGATCTAATCAATTTTATAAGTGCCAAAGGAATGCTTTGGGTCATCTGAAATGTTTGCTTCCTTTAAGCATCCAAATCACGATTATTCAAGCTACAATTTGCAATACGCCAAGTTAAGAAGATAAGAATAAATGGTAAATTAGAATAAGAAAGCGGATCATTAAATAAATAATTTCAGTGGCAATAATGCGAGTTTTAACAACAAAACATCGGTAGAAGGTTCGGATACCAAAATAATTTAAAGTGCACTGATATCCGGAAATGCGCTGCTGGAATTTATTGATAATTGGCTAAGATTGGTAAATAGTGAATATTGCGTTACGACCACTCACGAAGTATCGATCAATCAGTTTCAAAAATCGATTTGTTAAATCAATGCAAAATCGGGATTTTGTAATTGAATTAAATTAGAGCAGATTACTTTGAAATTTACAGCTGACTATCAAGCCAAAGTGCTAAGTTAATGAATGAAGCATATAGCACACGCCCTTAAATGCCGTATAAATAGGAGGGGAGTTTCCGAAGTATCTTCAAAACTATGTGAAAGTGTTCGAGATGAGATTTATATTCATGAACATCCCAATTTAAAATGCAAAAAGCTCATATGACACGTAGACATCTCATTATCTTAGTACCATTTCTTCTTCAGCAGGAATTATGGAGTATCAGAGCTTTTTTGCATCTTCCTACATGACTTTGAACCTACGCTCTGAGGTACGATTAAAATTCAGATTTCAAGCCATGTCCTACCTATTAATCTTCTAGTAGACTAGAGATAGTAAACAACATATTGATGGAGTGTTAATAAGGATATTTTCACGGTATAACGCTTAATTGTGCGATGAGGTCAAATTGAGCTTCTCAACTTGAGAAAATTTTGAGTTAGTCGTGTGATGAACTAGCCTGAAAGTCAAGACTGAGAGGACTACCTGAAGTTGAATGAGGATTAACCTATGAAATGTTGTTTACCACAGACAAGAGTATAAGTCGGGATACGAGAAAGTTCACACTTTCAACTTTAGAATCATGTGATTTTCAAAAAAAATTATATACCGATTAAGACATTTCAGTCATGAGCATGGAATAGCCACTTAACCAGATAGACCGTTAGGAGCTTGACTGTATGACTCACCTTGTGGTTGTGAAAAGTGGGGATTGGGCGACCTTTGGCCACTATGCACGAGACTCTTGTTCAAAGGAGCAATGAAGTGCATTAAAAAGTACGAAGTACTTTTAAAATAGACTTAAAGTAAAAAATGGCATCGAAGAAACCCTGCAATCAAAGGTAAACATTATGCGTGTTAATGAATAATTACTTCCTTAATTCACACATAGGGTATGAAATAGCTCCGAATGAAAGTGAATTTTAGTAGGACCTTTACTGTAGGAAAAATTTGAACGACCTTACACGTAGGCACGATAATTTCCTCTTAATTACCAGCAGCTGTAAGGGAATTGGCAAGCATAGCACTTACTCAGACAAGCCAATCCTGAAAATTAGTTTCGACAGTGTGGAATGCTGATAAATAGCCCTTATTTAATTTATTTTAATTAGAAAATGACCAGCCATTGTTACTATTCGATAGTGAGATACATAGCCATCAGCACTAACTTTAATGCCATAAAAAGAAGCGAACCAATGAAAATTTTTATGCGCAAGACATTTGAAAGCGTTTTGGAATGTTGGCCACTAGTTTTGAAGGCAAATGGGAAAATGTGCTGAATATTTGTTACCTAACACTTTCCAACTCCATTGAAGGAATTATTATCTAGATATGGCCACACCTATGCGTAACTCGCACTAAAACCGCAATTTTAAACTTCTTTGTAGTTCATCAATTAAAGGCACTTCAAATTCACTCGGAAAAGGTAAAATCATACAGCTGGGTAATTCCACCACTCCAAACTGCATAGATACAAAGTTTGAATCGAGTAAAATGTAGCAATAGAAATTAATAATATTGCTGAAAAAATGCTTGCAATAAATTATACTCAACTTGACTTGAGTGACGGGGTTTGTGGACAAATTAAGAAACGGCAGCTTGTTCCAACATTTGTCATTATAACCTCTAGTGATCGGAGGTTTCAAGGGAAAATTTCCAAACTTTAATATTACACTAGTATAGCTTTTTTAATCTTGGTGAATTTTAGCTGGTCTTGCAAGTATCTCCAAGAGAAACGTAATTGACGTACTGAATGGGTGTTAGCAACCAACTTTCCGGGGTAAAAAATATTGATAATTCTTGAAGTAATCTTATAATGTGCCTTAGAGAGGTCTGTAGCGGATTGTTACCTTAGTAAAGCCTGACCGACTCAGAAATCTCTATGGCAGATTCTCAAACATCTAGCTAGACTCCCAGAACCAGCTAAGCCATAGCCCAGCTATGAAAGGAAACAGACGCGTAGCACGGAGCACGTTTATTCAGTAAGTATATTGCGGATCAGGGGTGCGTGATAGACTTACCTCCACGTGGTGCACCCTGGGCAACGTATACTCATACGGCAAAAAAGTCTATTAACTGGCGATTGACTTCTGGCGCAGTCCTCATCCTACCTTTTCTCTGCCTTCATGTCTGTCTCTTTACATCTGTAAATCACTCTTCTGTTCACCACCCCTCGACTTTCTGTCACA